ATTCGACAGAGCTAAGAAGAATTCACCAATTAACCAACCTTGAATATATATTCGGGGTTATAAAATTTCCGTTGCGTTCATGAGGTTTACAAATATCTGGCACTAGAATACGATGGTAATTTGAGTCGGATAATAAAATGTACAAGTACAATTGAAGTTAAGACCATATTATTGGAGCAATTCATTTGATTAGTACAAAAATTACAATGCTCCTCAAGATATTAAATAACAAATGATTGTTAAATCGTTTCCTGACCTTAGTACGCCTTATAAATATAATTTTTTACAAACAAATTTTCTACCAATATGGATCCTTTAATCAAAGAAAGTGAACCACACTAGTGAACTGTGAGAAAATGAAAAGTATATTCCGATCTAGTAGACTAGATAAATCTAACGACGGTAGATGACGACGAGGAAAAGTAACTATTTCACTAACAAGGGTGCGCTTAGTTCAACTATGAACGAATCAACAATGGTCTAATACCGTACGTCGAACAACTTGCACAATATAATCATCCAAAGGAGCAATGACTGAAAAAATACGATCAAATAGAAAAGGACAGTAACATTTGGTTTCTGATGCTGAAGTAGATACAAATACTTGAATGATTGGCTACTTCAACTGCCACATACCCGAGTTTGATCATATGTAACTTATGTAAGGTTTTAGCCATTAGGGTTTGAAGGGTTTAGTTTTTAGGGTTTTGGAGGGTCTCGAGGGTTTTGGAGGATTTAATTTCCGGGTTGTTCGTTTATTTTAGAACATAATATTCAGTACGATGGGGTTGAATGTGTTTTTGATTGTCCCACTATTACCCCTTCGTTATTTAGATTCACGTGATGGTTGCACATGTACCATTATTTGGGAATCCTTTTTCCCATATTTCTCATTCGGAAACACATTCTTTTCACCGAATGGTTAGCGTTTGGGTAATATAGTAGTTAGTTGATTGGTGTGACACCAACAAGTCAAGAACCTACCACTGCACCAACAACTAAGACATTAAGAGCTTTTAGGTTTGGTGAATTTACACGTCGTCATCATTGTTTTTACTAGTATTATTATTTATCCACCATGTGTACTTTAGTTTGTTGTAATTATTTATGCAAATAACGCTTCAACTACAAAGAAGTATGATAATGGGGTATACAATTGCAACATAATTCCGTAACAGATTTATAGTGTAGTAGACGGATTAATAGTGTAGTAGACTATGTTAGTCAAGTAATGTTGCTAAATACACAATGCATAAACGAGTCTTTTTAATCACATAATACTAAAAATAAACACAGTTGCGCTAAACCTGACTACAGGGTCTACAGTAAATCACTGAAACCAGAAGTACAATAAAGTCACCGCACGGTTTCTCACTTGTAATCGTATCAACTGGCAAAAAAAGGTAAACTCAAACTACAACCGCTCTACATCGAACCGTATTCCAATGCAGATGTCTAATATGTCAATTTAACATCAATAACTATATAATAAAAGGCACACTAGCAATGACACGTGTCATTTTCAAATGTTTAAAAATAACAAAAAAATATTTAGAAAACAAATCTTATGTATAAATATAAGATTAAGAAGATTAAATGTATTATCCTAGCACTATATACATTGATACCATAAGTTACAGTTAATAAAATAAAAATCAAATTCTTAACATAATTTGTGACATACATAGTGCTATATACTACTCTTACATTTTTACAACAAGGATTAATTTTTTGTAAAATACTTGTGTATTTAATTATGTTAGAAAAGCTTGTTAGGAAAGATATGAAATTTTTTAAGCTAGTTGATTATTGAGAAGAAAAATAAGTACTGCGTAAGAGGGGATTAATGGATTAATAGTGTGTAAAAAGTAAATCTATTTACGAATTAGATACGTATACATAGTTGTAAGATATTCATTTGGTTAAAAGAAGAAATGATATAAAATAGTTAGTGAAAATATATAAATATACATATATGTGTATTTTAAATTATATATTTTGCTAATAATAGACTCTTTCATAATTAATTCATTTTACAAAGTAGTAACTTAAATAGTTTTTTTTTTTTATTAAATATAATGTTAATAATTATAGAGTATTTATTGAAAGTTACCGTGCATGCGGGACCTAATCTACTAGTAATTATATATCACACCCACAAGGACTATATTCTTATCGGTAATTCACACATATTCTTATTCCTATCAGTGAAAGTGAAACGAGCGAAACAAAATTGGCAAAGAACTTGGAACCCGCTACCACCAATACACAGTTATTCAACCAATATGAGTTCCTACATCCCTTCAAACCTGAACCCTTACTGGGGTCCGGTCCATTCCAAATCCCGTCCACCGCTTAGGAAAAGGAAGGCTATGTCAGGCCGTCACAGCCCATTGGAGCAGGTCGTAGCTAGTGGCGTGAGGGTCGGCGGGCGAAAAGCCGGCCGTGGAGTGTGGCAGTCTTGACGATTTGTTGCTTCGATCATCGAAGATCCTGTACTTGACCTAACGACACAAGAAGGACGTGCTGCTAAACTACCCCAGATTTCTGAGGATACACACCGGACCCAGACAATGAATGCCTCTAGAGGTGTTGCTCCTCAGCAAGTGATTAACATACCAGGAGACGACCCCGTTCAGATAGAAGATGACGATGTTGATGCTGATGCTGTGGTTGTCATGGCACCTGCCACTGCTAAGCCAGTGGCCTTACAACCTGCTGCCAACCGAGGGGCTGTAGCTAAGCAAGCAAGGGTTGCCCCTCCAAATCCCGGCAACTTCTTTCCAAAGATCTCGTTCATGGTTCGGAGCCTAAATGACGACGACCCCGGCCTCGAGTATGAACTCACGATCAATGAATCATTCAAGATAATTTACTATGACTACGCTAGGAGGGTAGACTCTCACCCGGAAGACATTACTATCAAGAATGGTCACGGCATTGTTCCCTGGCATAATAATCCAATGTTGGCCGGGATTGTGAACGGGGCTGTCCTGTGGGTTTGGAGCCAGTTTCGGTTCCTTTTCCTTTCGTAAAATGAAGATAAAATTTAATGTCATGTTCTGAAAATTTAGAATTTCGTTAAAGTGTGGTTGTTATGTAATTTTTATTGTGGTTTAATTGAAGTTGCTGTTAAGGTGGCAAAACTGTAGTGATTTACTGTAGTTTGGACTAGCTCTATTCTAAATAAAATGTGTCACCTTGACTACATTGGTTTACTTTTATCATCCATTTAACATGTCAAAATGTACCAGCATTATTAAAGTGGTACATTCTATTTACGAAACTACCACTGCAAGAAGCAAAAGCGATTCTCACATGTTAAACTAATTACTTTTAATTTTGTTTACACGTAGGTACCCGAGGCCAACATGGATTTTCGTAAGAAGCTAGTCTATCTCCGAGAGCCGCGAACACGTTCGGTGAAGAAGAAAGTACTAGTCATGTTGGATGACTCTCTGGACGGCCTGTTTCGAGCTTGGAGTGACAAGGTGCGTGTGAGTCCTAACAAAATTTTTATGTTTCACGAGAACAAAAAGGTCACACCAGTTATGGATGTTCGGGGTGTGGCCATGAGGAATGGCGACGAAGTATTTTGCTTCACAAACAAATAGGGCATGAGGAAGCCTAATGTCATGTGTCTGTGGAACCAAAATCAACTGAATCCCCTTTGGTAACAACCCTAGTGATCCTAGTCGTATGTTTAATTATGACTTTTATTATGATTCCCGATGTAATGTTTAATTGCAATTTTCATTCTCATCCTACCTGTTTGAACTTGAACAATGATTGTTCTAATTAGATTTTAATTATGACATTTGTTGTATGAATTATCACAATGTGTTGCAAACAACAATTAAGCACTTCCGGGGATTACACATGACTACCACAAACAAAACAGTAAAAAGGTTAAAACCAACAAGAAAATAGGATAGTTAAAATTGTAAAATGAAACGCCATAATTACCTACCCTCGAGAATTGGAACGATTAATTCCATAGTTCATCACCACCGCCTTCACGTAACTTCCATATTTCGTCCTATCGGTAAAAGACCTGTTCATTCCCCTTCAAAACCTTCTTAGAAACCTCCAAAAAAAAAAAAAAATTATTCGACCAAAAAAAAAAAATTCGCCAATTGAATTCTGCTACAAGGTATGTTCCAATTTAATTCGTCGTGTACTGGTGTCGGACTCTTTACTTATGTTCCCTGTTTTTTCTTTGGAACTCCACTCTCCTCTCTGTAACACTGTATTCTTGTTATATTTTTCGCACTTCGTGTTTTTAGGGTATTTTACCTTTTCATGGTTTTGTTTATATCTCTAATGTTCCGTTGTTTTTGTGTCGTTTTTCTTAATCTTTCCGTTGTGTCAGGTATTTTCATGGTTTTGTGTTTTTTTCCTAATATCGCCATAAATGGTGTGACTGTTTCCTGCTTTTTGTGTTCTTTTTCCTCATGTCGCCATTAAGTGGGTGAGTTTTTCCTGCTTTATTACGACAACAATCGGGTGGGGTGGGAAAGGGGATGAGAATTATTTGCCTATCCCTTTTTCCCACTTTTCTGTGTGGGATTTTTGTACCTCTTAGTTCGGATTAAACCCAGTTGATGTGAATTGTAGTGTTTTCCTTTTTGCCCAAAACTTTAACCAATTATTTGTGTTTATGGATTGTTACAATTTATGATGGGGTTTTTTATACCACTGTCACGCAACGGCACTGTTGTGGATGGTACATGAAATTGTACTATTTTAATCACAGTGGTGCTGCTTTATACCACTTTAGAAACATGGAATTACCATTTCAATTTTGTCCCTTTTGCCCAATTTTAACACCATGATTTGGTTTATCTTTTTGCCCAATTTTTACACCATTGATAGTGGTACTACAAATGAAGAGTATATGTACCACATTAGTTATGATAGTGCAAAAACCCCATGTTATGTACTGCTTTCCAGATATGGTTTGACCCTTTCTATTGTCTTTGGTTGTCAAAGAAGCTACCATGAGTGACTGGGAAGTGACTGAATTAGAAGGGCAACTTGACAAGTTGTACTCAGAGATGTCCGAACTCGCTGGGCAGGGGAAGAAATTTGTAGAAGAAGCAGAACAGGTTAAAGCAGTACATGCGGCTAAGCTGGAAGAAGCAGAAAAGGTTAAAGTAGTACATATGGCAAAGCTTGAAGAAGCGAGGGTATTATGGGCCCGTTTGAGCCAGCTTTTGGATCAGCGTATTGCACGCGTTCAGAGTGAAATTGTTGCTTGCCCTCCATCGCCAGGAATTGCCGGAATTGACACTAATTTTGGGAATGAGCCACCTGTTGAGAGGACTTTCGAGGAGGACATGGGTACTGCTGTGGCTGTTTGTGGTGCTCGTGATGGTAATGGTGATGAGGAGATGGGAGACCAGAACCAGGAGGGCATTGTTGAGGATGAGGATGAAAATGATGAGGACGACGACGATGAGGAGGACGATGATGAGGATGACTAGTTTTGTGTTATTATGATTGTCGTAGTTAAATTAGTATTGTAACGTGGTACGTTAGTTTAATTGGTGTGGCCGTGTTCAGACCAAGTGATGTTTTAAAAACATTAAAGTCCACGACAGTGGTACATTTTTCGTTTCAATTGGTAAAATGGCGTCACAACCTACGTTGAGTTACAAATAACCAGTCGGGTGATGTCAACGGCCTTGTACGACCCAGGTATTGGTACCACCATTATTATTATGTCACTGAAGAGAACTATAGTTACAAGATTGGGTTGCGATTACAACGTGAATAGTCAAAAAAGGTTTATGTGTCCCAATTAGGACATTATTCAGTTTTCATTGTCCCATACTTACATAACATTGCAAATTCTACTCTTACAATACAAACAGAATTTCGCACAAGGATTAAGCATATCTTAGTGGTACATTGAAAAACGTAAACATGAACCATTAATTATTATATGCATGCGTAAGTGAGAAACGACAATTTCTAAGAGTTTTCGCGCTGGATTCCTAAATATATGCGCTTAACATTCACATTTATTATTCATCATCATCATTATCACTTCTCCCAACCCATCACTTCCACTCCCCATGCAGACTACTTACATGATACAAACATTTTATTTACAAAAAATGTAACAATATGATGTATTTAGTTTAATAACTCTAATTGAAATATAGTAAACTAATTGTAATAAGTTTAATCACTGTAATGTATCATCAGAATCATTTGATTCTTTATGTTAATGGTTCGAGCAAAATATTTCCCCTTTTTCAGTATTTGCGATCTTGTCATTGAATTTTTCCTTTTGTCATAGGACAAATTATTCCGTTTGAATGATGTGTTAGATATATTAATAACCTACCCTGTCCATCTACAAATCTTGGATTAGTGGTACGTTTATCGGTTAATAATTGTACCATTAATTATTATGTGCATGGGTAACTTCTGATTGGCAGTTTCCAATAAATTCTCGCCGGATATTTGAATATCCCCCAGTAATTCAATGAATCGCCATCATCATCAAAACTCCCAACGCACTACATCCGACCCCATGCATGAAGGAAAACCGTCTCGTGGAAGTCTATTTATTTGTCAAACAGTTTTTGCAAAAAACTTAACTTCCTTCTATTCAAACAAAGCGATCTCCCTCTGTAAAAAATTAAAAATGGATGTAGAAGCGAAAAGAAAATTCTCACCTTCTATGGTTGACATCCTGCCGCCAGATGTGTTGGCAAACATTCTAAGTTGCGTTGCTAGGTCATCTCCTGCTCATTTATTTCGGTGCAAATTAAGGTACGCTTATACTTGGAAAATGTACTCTGTTATGTTCTCTGTTTCTCATCCTATACACATAGACTGTAGTAATCTAATTTCTGCCGTATAACTTGATAAAAGTTGTAAAACCCTGCGACTGATAGCCGAATAAAAGGGGGTCGTTCAACAAATTCACCTCCCCTGGGTTAAAGCACGGATGTCAGGTATAAGCTGAAATAAGGCGAATATGTTCTGGAAAAAGTGCGTGCAGAATGAACATCCCAAAGCTCTGCTTGAGTATGGATTTGTACGTCTTCTTTTTTTTATTATTGGGAATTTTTTTCGTCAGAATTTATGTTTATGTTTGTAGACTTCTTGTAACTGTTTTACCATGTCTCTTTACTGTAGCGACAATTCTTCAACTACATGGCGGTCGATGATGGAGTGACGACGTTGGTAAGAGCAACTGAGTTGCACAATTCGATGGCAGACTATGTACTAAGCCTCATATACATATACACTGGACAAGAAGAAAGTGGTGTAAGCCTTTTGGAGAAGACTATCAACCGCATCGGATCTGCTGGGATAGTCCAGTGCAGACATAGGTTATGTGAGTTGGCGAGTGACAATTGGATGCGCAATCATATGATTTTAAATTATGATCCAAAGCCAAACATATTCTGCAAACAAAAATTACAGCACGAGAAGAACTTAAACCCATGGGATCGCCTTTATGACGAGGATTCGGAAAGTACAATAACTTGTATGACTTGTAAATGCCTTAGGGAGATAAGCGTATTTTATTATCTACTGCAAAGCCGACTCACCGGTCATGTGCGACGCATATCTGTACCACCCTAGTACTTGTACCACACTAGTTAGGTGATGTAAACATTCTCCTACGACTCTAGTATTTGTACCACCCTGGTTGTTTGTAATTTACTTTCTTTTACAATTGTTCATTCAGGATTTTCAATTGTATTTTAATTATGAGGGTACAACTGTTGTCTTAGTTGTACCCTGGATCACATAACAAGGCGTACTGCAATCTTGACACGTTTGATTGGCAAAAACGTTTAACAACCTTCTTCGATTATAAGTCAAAATTGAATGACTAAGATTTAGTCACTTAGAAAACTATACTGTTGGTACATGTAGGTGTTGAATGAACCCGCTCATTGCCGTCGAAGGTTTTTAACATTGCTTTACGGTGATCGTAAATATCCAAAGTCCTAAATTACAAATCACTAAGTTTGTAGTGTACTACTTATTAATTAGTAACTTCACTAGAAATTATTTATTAGTAAGTTGGGTGGGTGGGTGATGTAAACGTTATCCTACGATGGTGGCAATTTTCCACCCTGGTTATTAACAATCCATTTCCTTTTTGTAGCTGTTCATTGCCATATGATCAGAGTTTAGAAAAAACGATTTTGATGGACAATTCGGGTGACAAGAAATATAGTTAACTAATTCTAATACGTTTAGTTACTCGAATGTATGACCAGAATCATTTGATTTTTTTGGGTTAATGCTTGGAGCACAAAACGAATTTGTATCAGTAACTATATACTAAAAGACACACAAGCAACGACACGTGTCATCTCCTGCCGTGTTATTGTGACTTTTTTCCTTTAAAAAAACTATTAGTTAAGGTAACAAATCATTTACCAAAATAATATTGTGTTTTGTACATATTTTATGTTACAAAAATGGTCAGATTTTTTAAAATAATCTTATATTCTTAAAATAATCTGTGACCTGGTTTAAAACAGACAGAAAAAAGAATGCTCAGATTTTCTTACCAAATTTTTGTTTCATTTCTGTATTAGATGCAACAATTTAAAAATGCAAATACCAAATCAACCTATCACATACTTATTCCTGGAATAATTTATGATTATAATACTTATCAATCAATAATGTATAACTATATATAACAACTAGGTTAGCTCCCGTGCTGCCAACGGTACATTATTTTAAATACTTTTGACAAATTAATTTATTTATAGCATAAAATATAAAAATTGTTTAATATCTTGAACAAAATTGAAGTAGCATGGAATATTGAGTGTCAACATAAAAATGGTAATTATTATTGCTCATCTATAGAGTTGACAAAATCAAACTTTTTTTTTTAAATAATTTCATTAAATAAAATTTAGTAATTAATTATTAAAAAAATATACTAAAAACACACCAGAAATCGACACGTGTCATTGTCGGTGTGTCTTTTAGTATATAGTTATTGATTATTGATAAATCCCTGAAAAAAAAATTTTACCTATTAATTCCCAAAGACTGACATTATTTTTCCCACTAGGAAAAAGAATTAAATTTACATGATAGATATATTAATACATTTACGGCTTAGATATGTACCATAAATTATAAATCTCCCCCACTATTTTTATTTTCAACCATCATCATCACAACTCTCAAGTCCGCTACATCCAATCCCAGGCATGAAGGTGAACCGTCACTGATAAATCTACTTATATGTTAAACAGTGTTCGGAAAAAATTCACTTCCGTCTGGACGAACAAGCGATCTCGGATCTGCCAATCTAAAAAAAAAGTAAAATGGATGTAGAAGCGAATACCGCTACAACCTCTATGGTTGACATCCTTCCGCCAGAAGTGTTGGCGACCATTCTAAGTTGCGTTGCTAAGTCATCTCCTGCTGATCTATTTCGGTGCAAATTAAGGTAGGCTTGTACTTGCAACATGTACTCTGTTCTCATCATATACATAGAGAATGTAATAATCTAATTTCTGCCGTATCACTTGATAACAGTTGTAAAATCCTGCGACGGATATCCGAAGAAAAGGGGGTCATTCAACAAATTCACCTCCCCTAGGTTAAAGCACGAGAGTTGACGCCACACCAAGAAGCAGCGGAGAAGTTCTTCATCAAGTGCGTGGAGAATGAACATCCTGAAGCTCTTCTTGAGTTTTGATTTGTACATCTCCTTTCTCAATTATTGGGAAGTTTATCAGTATATATCTGTTACTCACTATGTGAAACGGTTTTGTTTTCCAAAGTGGCAGTTTTATAAATCAAATGTACCACCAATACTACAGTGGTATAATTTTATCATCTATTTTCTAAATAATATGTATCACCAAAACTGCAGTGGTAGGTTTTGAATTGTAATTGTTAGAATTTATGTTGCAGACTTATAGTCAGTGTTTTATTATTTCTCTTTAATGTAGCGACAATACTTCAGCACCATAGTGTTGGACGAAGGATTGACGATGTTGGCAAGAGAAAATGAGTTGCACAATTCGACGACAACATATGTACTAAGCCTGATATACATATACACCGGAGAAGAAGAACGGGGTGTTAAGCTTTTGAAGAAGACTGTAAACAGCATCGGATCCGTGGGGATAGTCCAGTGTAGAAGGAAGTTACGTGATACGGCGAAATATAATGTGATGCACAATCATATGATTTTACATTATTTGCCAAAGACGAAGATATTCTGCAAACATAAACTAGAGCACGAGAAGAACTTAAACCAATGGGAGCTTCACTATGACGCGGATGCGGAAAGCACAATAACTTGTATGACTTGTAAATGCATCAGGGAAATATGCGTATTTTATGAAATACTAGTTGGTCACCGGTCCTGTGTACATATGATATGTGTTAATGAACATTCTTTTTCAAACTGGTGGATTATGATTCCTCTAAGTATATACAATGTGCAAATGCTCAGGAATATATATACAGACCCTATGTTGAATATAAAACATCTGTTCTCTCTCATCCGGCATAAGATGAAAATGTACACCGTAAGTTACCCGGCATAAGCTTTATTTGTCTAACAATTTGGATTAATTAGAATTAAGGTGCTTTAGAAAAAAAGACAGAGAAAACGGAGAACTGAAAAGATAAGGGTTTATTTTAAAAAAAAGAGTATGATGAGAACTGGAAATGCTTTGAACGAGAATTTATTAAACCCAATTTCTTTTCCTCTCTTCACTTTATAATGTATGATAAGTAACAAAATGTATGTTTTCATTTATGTCACTTAGTCATATTTGTAATAAACATCGCAAATATTCACATATACTCGTATGTTTGACGTCATAGGACCGAATTGTTATTAGCAGTAAACATATCGCATTAGTTCACATATCACAGTTGGTTTCTAGCTAAACATTAGGATTACCTAAAATAACCGATTACAATTGATCTCCATATCTGTCCGAAAACACTATGTATAACAATACATTTAGGTGATTTTTGTACCACTAGAGACACGAAAATACGTCAGGGAGGATATGAACTTCTACCACTTTACTGACGGTGGTACAAAACCCACCCGTTTTGCATCACTCTCGTAACATGGTGTTACCCTTTAATTCACTTAATATTGGCATAATATTTGATGAATATCGGGACAGAAAAATGGCAGCAAATAATAAATTGGAACAAAATAATTGATGAAGATATCTTCTTATATTTTCTATAAAACCTGTCCGATTTTCAAATATGGCAATAAATAAGGATTTGATGAATATATCTTTCGATACTGATTAAATAAAGTTTTGAAATACTCTTTTTGGAAACTACCTCTTTTATAAACCTTTCCGCGTCCCTATTGCCAAACACATGCATATGTCATTATTGCCAAGTACAGGGAATTAGCGGTACTTATTGCCTTCACCCATTGAATTGTCAAATCACAACTCTTCACTCCACATTTTCACCTTCTCACTCCTCTTAAACCGTCACCTCATCCATTATTTAAGGATGACCCCCCCCCCCCCGTTTTCTAACTCCATCATATCTCCAGCTCAAAGCCTCATTCTTTTTAGCAATGCCGCCCGAAAGAGTCCATCGCCTGTCAAATCCAAATTCTCTTTGTTTAGTTCCTGAATTATTTCTAAATTCTCTCAAACTTTCCCATTTCTCCCTCTGTAAAACCTCCTTCACTACCTCAATTATGGTTGGTTATTTCTCCGTATTGATGATGTACGCCACCTTAAGAAATCCCTCGAGAGATACCCGTTTCGCGATTGCACTTCTCTGACGAACCGTAACATCCCGGTTCGGCACTTTGCAATCCATTCTCTTTATTTATTTGTTGGTTTTTACTTCCTTTGAGAGGTAGTTTCGGGTATGCTTTTGTGAATTTTACGGCCCGCTGACTATCAAAACGGTGAAGATAAGAGTATTATATCTCCCTCAAGTTTCGATTAGTCTACAATTGGTTATCGAAACTTGAGGGAGATATGATACCCTTATCTGGCCTTACTATCCGTAATTTTGATCAATTGGGACGGTTGTCTTAGGGGATTCAGTCATCTGATGGAGAGCCAAACTATAAAATCTTCTGCTCTATAAGTAAATCCTTAGGTTGTTTCAGGATAATGACGCTGTAAGCCACCTTAAAATTCCCTCGAGATACGCTGCTGCAGAAAATTGAAATAAGCCGAAAACCGATAACACCATCCTTGACAAGTCCATATGAAACTTTAATTCAGAATGTATTGAGTATTACTTTAGGATTCAATCGTTTTAGTCAACATAAATTGAGGAATGTTATGATACTTTAATTGTATTCATATTTGGTTTTAAAATAGGTCCAAGATGTGCACACATAATTAACTCACTTTGACAACATAGTACATGCATTGTTATTGTTATTGGTATTTGATTATATATAAATACGGATACTTCTTAAGCAGTTCATCATAACTGTTAAATCTTAGAGAAGTACAGTAACCTCCCATAGTCCCATGTCATATTGTTGTGTTTGTAGATGGATGTAGACTTACATTAGATGTAGACTTACATTTGTTTCTCATCATAAGAGGTATTGTACCAACCAAATTACAGTGGTACAAATGTTATCGTAGTTGTTAAATGTACAGTAGATCTTGTACCACTAGATTATAGTGGTATTAAATTTCCAACTAATGTCCCACCTTGAAAAATGTCGTACGTTCCGTTCTTAAGCACGGACAAAATTAAAAGGGTCACATCATATTTCGAGGATGTTTTGTACCACTGTGATAAAATACGACAAAATTGAATGGGCCAGACCATGCAATGTTTCGAGAGTGGTACAAAACGGGGGGGTTTTGTACCACCGTTACAAAAGTGGTACAAGTTTATATCCATCCTGAACAATTTCGTATGTTCGTATCTAAAGTGGTACAAAAATCACCCAACTGTATAGGTAAACATAATGTTTTAGGTAATCATAATGCTTTAGGACAAATATGGAGATTATTTGTAATCGGTTATTTTAGGTAATCATAATGTTTTGCTACAAACGAACTGTGATTTGTGGACTAATGCGATTAGTTTACTACTAATAATAATCCGGTCCTATGAGGTCACACATACGAGTATATGTGAAGAGTTGCAATGTTTATTATAAATATGACTAAGTGAGATAAATTAAATCATACGAGTACGTTTTTTCACGGATCATATATTATAAAGTGAAGAGTGAGAAAGAAATTGGGTTTAACGCCGTTTAAGTAATTGGGTGTAAGTAATGAATTGGGTTGAGTAGGAGTGTGAAGTTGAAAGGATGAAGTTAGTGAAAAGGTTTGATTTGACAATACAATGGGAGGATTAATAAGTGGATTACCCACTTGTCTTTTCTATGCAGTAATGATGGAATACATGTGGCTTTTCTAAAATGTGGCTTTTCAACGAAAATTGCTTCGTTTATTGTGTTTTACATAATTATCAATTCTCGACAAACGAAGCCAAATTTATCACGGTTCTCTACTTCTCTGCACAAAAGGATACTGAGCTCATCCGTCACTGTTGTGCAGAGAAAATTGGCCAACAGCAGTCCTAATGACTTGCTTGCAAATGTCTCAGACACTTTGGCATTGAGTTGTCATTGTCAACAATATTTGAATCACTAGGAAAGTAGGAAGTGTGTAAATGTCATTGTCAGAAAAAGTGTCACGTGAATGAAGGTGAATTACCATAGTTTATTCATGTCCTTTTACCACACTCATAGTTTCAAGTGTCCCATGCACCCATTCGTAAATCGTACTTGCAAAGTTGGTAATGCAATGCAATTGTGACGGAGTAATAATTCTTCGACGGAGCTTAGAAAAATTCAATAATTCACCTTGTATATAAATTCGGGGTTATCAATTTGCGTTTATGAGGTTTATAAATAATTGTCACTACAATACGACGGTAATTTGAGTCGGATAATAATTAAATGTACAAGTATAGTTGAACCTGGTATTTATTTTTGTAAGATAATATGTAAGTTAATCTGTGAAGGTTGTTATTCGATCGTAGCCCGAAAACTTATGTTGAAATCGGAACGGGCCCCGAACCGTAAATTCGTTGAAACCAATACTCAATCAGAAGAACAATCTTAAAGGAGAAACACCCTCAACTCAACCATACTCAAGATTTAAGACCATATTATTGGAGTAATTCATTGGACTAGTACAAAATTACAATGCTCCTCAAAAAATTCAATAACAATTAATTATTAAATCATTGCCCTTGTTATTTTAATTTACGTAATGGTTGCACTTGTATTATTTTTGGGGAATCCTTTTTCCCATTTTTATTATTCGCTAAAAAGTTCTGATTGTGCAATGGTTGATAGCGTATGGGTAATACCTAGTTGATTGATGTTACACCAACAATTTATTTGTTGAAATAAAATTATGTTATTTCTTTATAATTATAGCGTTTTGTGTAAAAAAATTTACAACAAAATAAAGGAAACCTGGTGAAAAAATAATAGTACGCAAAAAAAATGATGACAACGTATTTGTTTCAAACCGCAACCGCTCTATATCGAACCATATTCCAGTGTAAAGGTCTAACATGTCAAAATAACATATTAAATAAATATCACAAATTACCAAAATCAACTTAATCCCCCTCTGTAACAAGCGTAATGATCCTTGCCGTATGAAATAAAATCAACTGAATCCCCTTTTGTAGGAAACCTAATGATCCTAGACAATGAATTACAATTGAATGTTTAACTACGACTTTCATAATAATCCTAGATGTAATGTTTAATTGCGATTTTCATTATGATCATTGATGTTTGGATTTGAACATTGGGGATTACACATAACTACCACAAATTATTGATACAATTAGAAATTGGTAAGGTTTCCCAATTAAAAAAAAATTAAATAAAAAAAATAACAGGAAAATTGGATAATTAAAATTCTTAAATGAAACGCCATCATTACCTCCCCTCGAGAATTGGGAGCATTAATTCCATAGTTCATCACCGTATTCATTTTACTTCCATACTTCATTGTAAGAGTAAAACACCTGTTCATTCCCCTTTAAAGCCGTCTAGAAAACCTAAAAAAACCTCGCCAAGTGAATTCCGCTCCAAGGTATGTTCTATACATTTTGCCGTTTACTGGTTTGGGACTCTTTAATTATGTTTCCTGCTTTTTCTCTGTAGTAATGTGTTATTTGTTTACTTAGTGGTTTTGTTGGTAGTTTCCTTTTTGCTGGTTTTTTTGATTTCGTTCTGCAGGTGGTGAACTCCAATGTTTTCCTTCTTATCAGTAATGGTTTCTTGTTGTAGTGTGGAGTGTGGTGAACATGTGATCATGATTCTACATTTGCTATATTGTGTTTGGTACCCACTTGTTTTTGTGTTGTTGTTCCTCATGTCGCCATTAATGGGGTGAGTCTTTCCTGCTTTATTACGACAACAATGGGGTGGAGGGGGAAGGGACTGATTTATTTGTATTTCCTATTTAGACTTAAAGAAGCGGAGGGATTGAAACTAATAATTTCGGGTTTATGAATTTTTACGGAGTATTGTTGGGGTTTTTACCACTGTAGTAAAGATGCAGCGACAATGTTCAGGGTGGTACATGAAATTGATGATGAAATTGTACTATTTTACTCACAGTGGTATAGAATTATCTGTTTTTCCTTTCTGCCCAATTTATAAACCATTAATTTCGGGTTTATGATTTCTGTAAATTTATTTGGGCGATTTTTGTGGTACAAGTAATGGATGAGCACATTGTACCACTTTAGTAAGGATGGTACCAAAACCCTCCTGTTTCGTACCAATTCAGAATCATGGATTTACCCTCTCAATTTTGTCTCAGGGTTGTCGAAGAAGCTACCATGGGTGACCGGGACGTGACTGAGGTAAAAGGGCGTCTTGTAAAGTTGTACTCAGAGTTGGACGAAATCAATGCACAGGAGAAGATAAGGTTAGAAGAAATGGACAAGATGACAACATTACATACGACAAAGCTAGAAGAAGCGAGGGTTTTGTCGGGCCGTTTGCACCAACTCCGGGAACAGCGAATTGCACGCCTTCAGAGTGAAATCCACGCAATCCGTTCCACGCCAGGTTATGCGGTTGGAAATGACCAACCTGATGAGAGGATTATCGAGGAGGACAGGGGTGGTGATGTGGCTATTTGTGGTGCTGATGCTGGTAATGCTGATGAGGACCAGAATCAAGAAGGGAATGCTGATGATGAGGATGAAGATGATGAGGACGAGGACTACGACGATGAAGATGTTGAGGACTACGACGCTGATGATGATGAGAATGAGGAAGATGTAGAAGATGAAGTTGATGAGGATGAGGAAGCGGCAGAAGATGAAGATGAAGATGATTAACATGGGGATGAGGACGGGGGTGAAGCTGCTGAAGATGATGAAGAAGATGATTCTGGGTCAATTCAGATGCTTACAGGCGGTGCAGTCCTCTCCCCAAAAACGATCCTTGGGATTAGCTTGGTTTGTTTATATTTAGTTATGTAATCTACACAATTCCTTTTAAGTTTAAATTCAGGTTAAGTTTAGTAGGTGATTAGGGGGAGTTTGAAGACAATTTCCATGATTTAGTCACTATGAGAAGTCTACTATTGGTACACGTAGGTGTTACGGAAAAAATTGGTACTGAACCCGGTCACTGCTGTTGAAGAGTTCCCAAGTATGCTTTACGTTCGTCATAAATATCCACCCGTCCTGAATTACAAATCACTTAGATTCTACTGTACTACGACGACTTAGTTATTAGTAACTTGACTAGTCATTAGTTATTAGTAACTTCACTAGTTGGGTGATGCAAACGTCCTCCTACTACGACGCAGGTATTTGTACCACCCTGGTTATTAACAATCCATTTTCGTATTTAGTGGTTCATATATAGGTTCCAGTGTACCACCGTTTCTTCAACGGTACCGAAGTTCACCTAGTGGTACCCATGATTACAAAACAAACAAGGCCTACTTCAAACTTGACACGTTTGATTTGTATAATGGTTTAACCACCAACATCGATCTAAAGACAGAATTTAAGGACTAAGACAACTCTACTGTTGGTACATGTATGTGTTACGGCATAAAATGGTATTGAATCCTTTTCACTGCCGTTAGGTGAAGAGTTCCCAACAGTGCTCTCAGTTCATTGTAAATATCACTATGTCCTAAATAACAAATCAGTAAGATTCTAGTGTACTATGACGACTTAGTTATTAGTAACTTGACTACTAATTAGTGATTAGTAACTTGACTAGTACTTAATTATTAGTAACTTACCTTGTCCATCTAGAAATATTGGGATAGTAGTACATTTATTACGTAAGATATGTACCATAAATTAATATATGCATGCGGAACTTCTAATTAACTTCTAATTGGCAGTTTCCAAGAAATCCTCGCCGGTTTATAAGTCTCCCCCACGAATTCAATTATCCACCATCATCATCACAACTCCCAACCCACTACATCCACTCCCGTGAACCGTCACTTTGAAGTCTATTTATGTGTTAAACTCTTTTTGCAACAAATTTAACTTCCTTCTATTCGGACAATGCGATCTCCCTCTCTAAAAAATTCAAAAATGGATGTAGTAGCGAAAGGGCGAAAATTTACAACCTCTATGGTTGACATCCTGGTGTCAGAAGTGTTGGCGACCATTCTAAGTTTCATTGCCAAGTCATCTCCTGCTGATTTATTTCGGTGCAAATTAAGGTACGTTTATACTTGCAAGATGCACTCTGTTTCTCATCACATACACAGAGAATGTAATAATCTAATTTCACCCGTATAACTTGATGATAATAGTTGTAAAACACTGTGAAGGATAGCCGAAGAAAAAGGGGTCCTTTAACAAATTCACCTCCGCTGGATTAAAACACGAATGTTCTGGCCACACCGAGAAGCGGCAGAGAAGTTCTTCATGACGTGCGTGGAGAATGAAAATCCTGAGGCAATGCTTGACTTTGGATTTGTACGTCTTCTTTCTTATTTATTAGGAATTTTATTCGTCAGAAATTTTGTTGTAGACTTCTAATCAATGTTTTAGCATTTTTCTTTACCGTAGCGACAATACTTCAACACCCTGGTGCTAGACGAAGGCTTGACGATGTTGGAAAGAGCAACTGAGTTGCATAATTCAATGGCAGAATATGTAGTAAGCCTCATATACATATACACCGGAGAAGAAGAAAGGGGTGTTAAGCTTTTGGAGAACACTATCAACAGCGTCGGATCTGAAGGGATAGTCCAGTGCAGAAGGCAGTTACGTCAGATGGCGTGTCAAATTGGATGCGCAATCATATGATTGTAGCATATAATGCCACAGCCAAAATTATTCTGTAAAAAAAAACTACAGCACGAGAAGAACTTAAACCCATGGGATCCTCTTTATGACGAGGATGCGGAAAGTACAATGTCTTGTATAACATGTAAATGCATTAGGGAAATAAGCGTATTTTATGAAATACTACGTGGTCTACTCACCGGCCCTGTGTAATGAATATGATCTGTATTAATAACATATTTTTTTCAAACTCGTAGATTATGATTTGTCAACTGTGTGTTGAGGTTACACGTAATGATATGTTTCGCAGTTCGGAACAACACACACAAACACTATAAAGTGTTACAATTTTATCATCCATTTTGTAAATAAAATGTACCACCGTAAATAAAATGTACCGCCGTGACAAAAGTGGTACAATTTTATCATCCATTTCGTAAATAAACTGTACCTCCATCACTAAAGTGGTACATATTAATCATCCATTCCGTAAATAAAATGTACCACCATGACCGAAGTGGTACATGTTATTTACGAAACTACGTCTGTGAGAAACAATGTTCAAACAACAAATATCCATATCTTTTACCACCCTAAACAATCTCTTTATGACGAGGATGCGGAAAGTAAAATGTCTTGTATGACATGTAATCCATCTCTTTTACCACCCTAAATAATCTCATATGTTCGTGTCTAAAGTGGAGCAAAGATAACCCAAATAAATTTCCAACGTACAGATACCAGGAAAACATAGTTTCACACTTGGGCAAGTAGGAAAAACAAATTCAGTCCCTCCGCCTTCTACTTCTTTCACCAGCAAAGGCGAAATTGAAAAGGGTAACACCATGTCTCGAGAGTGGTACAAAATATGAGGCTTTTATACCACCGTCTTAAAAGTGGTACAATCTTGTATATTTCTCTTACACCACCCTGAAAAATTTCGTATATCGTGACTAAAGTGGCACAAAAATCACCCAAATGTATAGGTATACATGGAGTTTTAGGTAATCATAATGTTATTCGACATATATGGAGATTAACTGTAATCGGTTATTTTCAAAATATACTTTCAAAAGATATTTTAAAACATGTTTACATGATTTGTGAACTAATGCGATTAGTTTACTGCTGATAACAATCCGGTCCTAATCTTAAACAAACTTTATAAACACAGTAAGAAGCATGCAATAATTCTAGGGCAAAGCCCTTAATAACTATTACATCCTAATGTCCACAGAATAGCTCATATGCAAAATGCATTCTCTGCACATAGTCCAACCAATGTACCATATACTACTACACTTCTAATATTGTTTTTCAAATAGACAACTAGATAAGTACGGAGTATAATACAACCAGAAAGAAATAAGTGGGGTGAGGGATAGCACTGAGATCAGCAACAGTGGAGAAATTACTAATTAATGGGGTTATAGAGCTTTCGTAAGTTCTTTTGGTGTTTCTTTCCCACTACATGCTTCTTAAGACAATCATTGCTTGTGCACCCGATCTTGCAAACATCACACCATGGTTCTTTGATTTTTCGTTTTTTTGAAAGGTTGTGTTGTGCATTGTTACTCACTGGAAGTACACATGTTATCAAGCAGTAAATATAAACGGTATCAAGAACAGATGAAACTCAATCATAACCCATAAAATCAATTAAAAAAAACAAACAAACGTATCCGATTTTCATAGAAAACGAAAGCATACCACAGAATAAGGAGTAAAAGGGGTAGATTGTTTGACAATCTAGTTTGCTGATGCAACACCCGGGCCTGAATAAACAGGTTGTTCTTTAAAACCTGGAGTATAACCATAAATAGGAAGAGAGGCAGAAGGGTTAGAGAATAGGTATGGAAATTGATGAGTGTATGAGAATGAGGGATTAACAACTGAAGGTGACAATGCTTGATTATTAGGTTCAGACATTTTTGTTTTTGGTAATTCCAAATTTAAAAGGGGAAACAAATTTGGGAGAGGAATGATGAAGAAACTGAGTACATAGGAATGATGAAGAAACTGTATGCCTCCAACACTTTATTTTCACTGCGAAATTGTGAAGTAGCACATGCATTAAATACCCTATACACAGGTTTGATTTGACAATTCAATGGGAGGATCAATGGGAGGATTAATTAGTAGACATGCATCAAAAGCAGTAAAGAGGAAAACCGAGACACGAGAAGAAATAAGATTGAGAAACCAAATGGTTTTTTTTTTCAAGAAAATTTCACAAAAGTATTTTGAAGAGCTACTGTTAAAAGATATTTTCATTAAAAGTATTTCAACAATATTCACCAAATATGTCGTTCCAATATTTAGTTATTCACGATATATATCAAGGACGTGACATAAGGGTCAAGCACTTGACATACTGTGCAGCTAGACACAACTACTAAATAATATGATAGGTATAGTGTACCTTTAGCATCCTCAACTCCAGTCGAATAAAATTGAATCGTTCTTCACTTAAAGGCTTAGTAATAATACTTCCTCTGTCCCTTATTTTTTGCCCCATTTGAATTTTCACGGTCTCCAAGACACGTCTTCAAACGCATATATCTCCATTTCTATACGCGTAAAAATTATAAAAATTTGATATTAATAAACTATACAATAAGACAATTCTAAAAAAATCCCACATGAATATATTATCACTTATAGATCAACGAGAATTCATGGTCAAAATTTTAAAAGTTTGACCCATATTTTTGCAATGGGGCAAAAATTAAAGGACGGAGGGAGTATCAGCTAATTGATAAGTAGTAGAGATAATATGGATGGTAAAATTCAGTTAATAATTTTAAATAATTGCTCTAATTTTTTAAATTGGTCTTTCTTAAGTGATCTTTGTGTAATTAATTATTTTCCAAAGCTAATTGTGTTTTCTTCAGAATTTTAGGCCACGTCTTGATTGAGATGAATTGGGGATGAAAAATTAAAAGCGATCTTTCTTAGAGCATGTGCAATGGAGGGGATTCACCCTCCTCTTAGCCTTCTCTCTCCTCTTAAGAGGAATCCCCTTCATTGTAGAGGTGAAATGGGGAGTCCTCTTAGAAAGAGGAATATGG